GTGTTATGTCACACAAAGCAATGATTGTACCAAATTTTACATCGCATTGGAAGTCTGCATGTGTTATGGACACTGGTGAACTGAAATTTTGTCTATGAATTTAGGCAAATCTATAATACAGATATGTGAATATACTTCACTGTATGCCTCCGCCATTGAGATATCATTAGTATTCACTGAGCATGCAATTACCAGGAAAAATAAAAATTGAAATAATTGAATCATAGTGTGTTGTGTTCCCAGTTCCCGTCTAGTTTATTTCAATGTCTTGTCACGTTTACAGTGAGTAGAAATGTTTTTTTTTTGTTTTGACTCGCCGGCGCGCGCCTTTCACAATGTTGATACTTTTACTAGTAATGACATAAACAAAAACACACTGGTCGCCGGGTATCGTTTATCACTAATTGCTTACTTGCGGTAAACGGGACACTCAAACCGGAATAGTAGTAAATTCGATTCTGACTTGTGTGTTTTAATTTTAAGTGACCGCTACCCTAAGAGTATTTATCTGCGCTCGACACTTATCCCCGGGGGTCACTTAATGCAAATCACATTATGGGGACCTGTCGCCCTTTGTGTGTGTGTGTGGGGGGGGGGTGTAATTTTTAGCTGTTTCGTCTAGAATGGGGTATAGATTTGCTTGCCTTTAGGTCCAATATCAGGTTTGCCTGACTAGGATGGGTCCGGGAATGGGGTCTGTTTTTTTAAATTTCCATGTTATAGTATAGTTTTAGTACTTTTATTCCGGGTAATGAGTATAGATTCAACAAAATCACTATTTGGTCTATAATGGGGTATGGTATTTGAGGTGAAAATGGTCTATGATAACGTCTAGGGTTTTACTTCCCGGCCACACAACCCTACCAGACTGAAAGGCCAGTGCCTGCCCGGGCTCATGTCATACATTTGGCGGACCCGTAACATTTATCGTTCACGTAGTGTTACGCTAATACATTGATACAACGTAAAAGTGCAGCGGTAGCTCGGTTTTGGACTTGTGATTGGTGCAAGAAACCAAAAGTAGTATAAGTACAGAAAGCAAATTATTCGACAATTTGATGAAGCAAATCCTCACAACTCAACCTAAGACTCGATAAAAGTTACTTTTTTGAATTTTTAGTGAAACGAAATTTGAGTACGTGAGCTTTGCCGTGTTTCAGAGTAAAACACTTACACTCAGTTCTATAGTTACATTATGATTTG